ACCAGCAGAGATTGTGGCTGAGTGAGACGAAGGGTTACTGGAGTACCAGGCACTCCTCTTAAAGGGCCCATACACGAATTTACTCTCTGAGAGACTCACTGAATCTGTGCTCCAGCACTGGGGCAACAGCTCAATAGCACCAGGGACATTCAGGGAGAAAATGAATTATCTGGCTTCAAGGCGAGGGTTGTAGGGGAAGTTTTTTCCCCAGACAGAAGCACTGGCAGAAGATATTGTTCCTTTGTTGAGCCCTCCCCTCTCCCAGCAGATGCAGGCAGGCACCATATCTGTGTCTCCATCAACCTGGTTAACACTGTTCACCCCGCCTTGGTGATTTCCTAAGACCATGCCTCACCCAACTGGCAGGCTCACCCAAGCTATCTCCAGTGGCTTTTCCATACAAACAGCCTGTCCTAACTCAGGCTGCAGACTTTCCTAAAATCTCTCAAAGGTTCGCAAACCCCAAACAAGCAGCATCTGGCCTCAGCATGGCCCGTACCTCTTGCTGAGCAGCCTCAAGCCCAGCAATGGCAGCAGCCAGCCTCGGTTCAAGGCTTGGCCTCTTCCAAGCACCTCCAAGCCCAGCAGAGGTGGTGGTCATCTGTAGATCGCTCTCTGGCTTGTGCCAGGTGGCCTCAGGCAAGACACAGGCAATAGCTGAACTTGGCTCAGTGGCTGGCTTCAAACCCTGCTGGAGCACCATCCAGCCACCTCCACAGACAACACACCAAAAGGGCAGATGGGGCAGGTACCAGAGACCTGCTAAAGTAAATTCTGCTCCATAGGATCAGCCCCTACACAATAGTCAGTCCTCATAACCAATCAGCCTACAGGTGACACCCTTTCGTTGACATGCAAACAGCAACCAAGGCTCAACTACAACAAGAAGACACACACAACCCACACAAGGAACACACACCTGGGGCTCCCAGCTCAGGGGACCATGGAGACTATGCCACTGGGCCCCACAAGACACCTACTATATAATGCCACTCTACCAAGACTGGGAGACATAGCAGCTCTACCTAACACGTAGAAACAAATAAGGGAGGCAGCCAAAATGGGAAGACAAAGAAAGTCCCAAACAAAAAAACAGAACAAAGCTCCAGAAAAAGAACTAAACAAAATGAAGACAAGCAATCTACCAGATACAGAGTTCAAAACACTGGTTATATAATGCTCAATGATCTCAGTGAGAACTTCGACAAAGAGATAGGACACATAAAAATGGAGATAGAAAACATTAAAAAAGAACCAGTCCAAAATGAAGACTACAATAACTAAAATAAAGAATACATTAGACGGAATTAACTATAGATTAGATGAAGCAGAGGATCAAATCAGCGATTTGGAAGATAAGGTAGCAGAAAACCCCCAATCAGAACAGCAAAAAGAAAAAAAAATACAAAAATATGAGGATAATTTAAGTGGCCTCTGAGATAACATCAAGTGTACCAACACTCACATTATAGGGTACCAGAAGGAGAGAGAGAGAGAGAGAGAGAGAGAGAGAGAGAAACTTATTGAAGAAATAATGACTGAAAACTTCCCTAACCCGATGAAGGAAATAGACATACAAGCCCAGGAAATGGAGAGAGTCCCAAACAAGATGAACCCAAAGAGGTCCACACCAAGACACAATTCCAAAGGTTAAAAACAAAGAATCTTAAAAGCAGCAAGAGAAAAGCAGTTAGTTACCTACAAGGGTGCTCCCATAAGACTGTCAGCTGATTTCTAAATAGAAACTTTGCAGGCCAGAAGAGACTGACACAAAATATTCAAAGTGATGAAAAGCAAGGACCTGCAACCAAGATTATTCTATCCAGCAAAGCTATCATTTAGACAAGAAAAAGCTTAAGGAGTTCATCAACACCAAACCAGTATTACAGAAACATTAGAGGGACTTCTTTAAGAAGAAGAAAAAATAAATAAATAATTTAAATAATAAAATGGCAAAAACTACATATCTATCAACAATTACCTCAAATGTAAATGGATTAAATGCTCCACTCAAAAGACATAGGGTGGTTGAATGAACAAGAAAACAAGACCCATACATATGCTGCCTATAAGAGACATTTCAGATTAAAAGCCTAACAGAAAGTAAATGATGGAAAAAGATATTTCATAAAAATGGAAACAAAAAAACTAGGGTAGCGATACTTAGAAAAAATAGACTTTAAAACAAAGGCTATAATATGAAAAGAAGCTCAACATCGCTAGCTATTAGGGAAATGCAAATCAAAACCACAATGAGATACCATCTCACACCTGTTAAAATAGCTATAATCAACAGGACAAGTAATAACAAATGTCGGAGAGGATGCAGAGAAAAAAGAACCCTCATACATTGCTAGTGGGACTGCAAACTGTTATAGCCACTATGGAAAACAGTATGGAGGTTCCTCAAAAAACTAAGAATCGATCTACCATATGATTCAGCAATCCCTCTACTGGGTATTTATCCCAAAGACTTGAAACCACATATCCAAAAAGATATTTGCACATCGACGTTCATAGCAGCATTATTCATAGTGGCCAGGACATGGAAGCAACTGAAGTGTCCTATGATAGATGATTGGCTAAAGAAGCTGTGGTACATATATACAATGGAATATTACTCAGCCATAAGAAGAGATGAAATACTGCCATTTGCGACAACCTGGATGGACCTCGAGATAACCGTGCTAAAAAGTTGAAAATCACATGAAAGCAACCAAGGAACAGGACAAAGAGGCTGAAAAAGCAACCAAGGAACAGGACAAAAGACTGAAAAAGTTGAAAATCACATGAAAGCAACCACGGAACAGGACAAAGAGGCTCAGAGACACGGACAATGGACTAGTGGTTCCCAGAGGGTAGGGGGTGGGGGAAATGGAAGAGGTAGATAGGGTAAAGGTGATCAAATATATGGTAGTTGAAGAAAACTAGACTCGGTGGTAATCGCACAACAGAATATATAGATGTGAAATTATAATGTACACCCAAAAATTATATGATTGTATTAACCAATGTTACCCAATAAACATAAAAAAATTAACATAAAAAAATAAATAAATAAAATAAAACAAAGGCTATAACAAGAGACATGGAAGGACCCAGTCGGTAATTCACTTCTGGGTATTTATCTGAAGAAACCCAAAATGCTATTTCAAAGGGACATATGCATCCATATGTTCACTGCAGCATTATTTACAATAGCCAAGATATGAAGGCAACCAGGGTGTACATCAATGGATGAATGGATAAAAAAGAGGTTGTACATATACGCAACTGACTATTAGTCCACCATAAAAAAGAATGAAATCTTGCCATCTGCAACATGAATGGACCTAGAGGGTACTGTGCTGAATGGAATAAGTCTGGCAGAGAAAGACAAATGCCACATGATCTCGCTTACATTTGGAATCTAAAGAACAAAATAAACATACAAAATAGAAACAAACTCATAGATACACAGAACATTTTGATGGTTGCCAGATGGGAGGGGATTGAGGGAATGGGTAAAAGGGAAAGAAATTAAGAAATAAAAATTGTTAGTTACAAAATAGTCATGGGGATATGAAGTATAGCATAAAGAATATATAGTTAATAATATTTGTAATAACTATGTATGGTGTCAGATGGGTACTAGATTTATGGGGTGATCACTTCATAAGTTATATAAATGTCTAATCACTATTTCGTACACCTAAAACTAATATAGTATTGTATATCAACTGTAATTGAAAAATAAAAATTTACCTAAAAAAACAAACTATAAAGTCGCTTAAATACAAAAAAAAAATAACAGCAATATTGGTGAGAATGTGCAGAAATTGGAAACTCTGTGCACTGTTGGTGGGCATATAAAATGGTACAGCTGCTTGGAAAACAGTTTTTCAATTCCTCAAAAAGTTAAATGTAAAGTTACTATATGATTCAGCAATTCCACTTCTGGGTATATAGCCGAAAGAATTGAAAGCAACATCTCAAATACATACTTGTACACGAATAAATACTCATAGCAGCACTATTCACAATTGCTAAAAGGTAGAAACCACCTAAATGAACAAATGAATGGATAAACAAAATATGTAACATACATACAATAAAATACTATTTAACCTTAAACAAGGAATGAAATTCTGATACCTGCTGCAACATAGATGAACCTTGTCAACATTATGCAGGTGAAATAAATCAGATACAAAAAGATAAATATTGCATGGTTCCACTTATGTGAAATACCTAGAACAGGCAAATTCATAAAGACAGAAAGTAGAATAGAGATTACCAGAGGCTAGGGGATAATGGGAATGGGGAGTTATTGCTTAATGTATAAAGATTCTATTTAGGATGATGAAAAAAGTTCTGGAAACCAATAGTAGTGATGATGGCACGATAGTGTGAACGTACTTAATGCCACTGAATTATACACCAAAAATGGTTAAAATGGTGATTTTGTTATGTTTATTTTACCACGAAAAGAAGGAAAAAAGTACATCCTACCATCACGTTAATTCAGCATTTCCAAAACTGTACTATCATCCCTTCTAAGCCAAATTATAACTCCACGTTTCCCATTTTAATGAAAGATGTTCTTTAGAGAATTAAACTTAAAAGTTGTGTACCCTCTGTTTCCTCTCATTTCTTTAACTTCTGGGTGATACTTAGTTTTAAATTCTAGAAATATATCCTTCACATTATTCATGCTTTCTTCTGCCACTATCTTAATAGGTCATTTTACCTATGAAAAGGCTTTTATAATATAAAATTTCTAAACTTAACCAATACAGCATAAGTTAACTTATGTTAAATTTATGAGTACATGAAGTTTTAATAAAAACTGTTTAAACTGTTCATTACTATAAAAGTAACAATAAATTATTCTACTATTAAATTCTAACCTTGATCAAAATGACTGCTTGATTTTTAAGAACGTTCTTATTTATATTGTCCACTGATTTATACTACTTCACATTAATCTTCCAATGTTTCGATGAACATTTATACTTTACCTTTGTATGATATTCCATAGCATCCAATTCACCTTGATTGAAAACAACACATCTTTTACGCTTCTAAAAAGTAAATTACAGGGAGACAATTACATTACCATCTATCACAATATTAATATTTGAAATACATTAGTATTATTTTTCTTTAGCACATATTGTGTATCTCAGTCTTTAAAAGGTATAATTGACTATTGAGGTCAAGCTCAATGCAAAGGGTATGGCCTACAGAGGTAAGCTTTCCCAACTAATATTATTATTATTATTATTATTATTACTACTACTACTACTACTACTACTACTATACTTATGGGTGATAAAAGATCACCTTGGCCTTATTAGTAAGAAACTGCACCAAATGATAAAATGTAGCACTGACATCCATCGAACACAAGGAAACTGTGACATTGTATAAACAATCACCAGTGCCATCTATCAGTTGAAGTACATGGTATAATTATTCTGAACATTCTTCATCTCTGAAGAAAGGAATCATCCATGTATTATTATTTTTAAAAAATTCCGATGTATTTTATTAAAAGCTGTTTATGACTGATCTGAGGGTTAGGTATAAATCAGGTGTACTAACACTGTTCTATATCTAACGCCACAGCAAAGAACATGCAAGACAGTGCAATACAGAGCACTGTACTTTTTATTGCTGAAACCTCGGTGCTTACAAGGTGGCAAACTCCTAGTAGATTAAAAATAAATGTTTGTTGGCTGAATAAATGGACTTAAGCTTAAATTAATTGTACAATTTGCTTTAGCATATCAGAAATAAGGTAGGTTTTTTTAAGATAAAATTGTTTACAAATGCTCAATATTTTTCCATAAAGTGAGAAATTTACCCAATATAAAAGTCTAAACATTAAAAGATAATGCCCATATTTAGTAAACTGTAAACTCCTTTACAAGAGCTTATTATTTTTCTGAATTAGTAATAGTAATGGTAAACTACCTATATAGTATTTTACTCAAACACTATACATTCTTTTGTACCTGACATATAGCAAGTAATCAATAAATATTTGTTAAAAGAGAAAAATATGTACAATAAAAAAATCAGAAGAATATTTTAATTACCATTTCAAGTACCTATAATAACGTAATAAATTATCTCTATTGCCTTCCTTATTCTAATTCTTAACATGCTTCTTATTTAATATCTTTCTTCCCCACTCTAAGACCCATGAGGGTAGATTGTATTTATCTCTTCTCTTCACGCTACGTACAACAGCACATAGAAAGATCTCAGACATTTACTGGATGAGTAATGAATGTTATTGCTATCACTAACAAAGAAAATGTTAATATAATCTCCCTGAAACGGACTTTATGTAATCACCTCTGAACACTTCAAAGACATAAAAAGTATTAAAGCATAATTAATTTGATCCTATATGGTGTTCTCAAAACTTTACTACAAGATTGCAGCAGTGTGTATGCAAACACGTATAAGAGCATATACATTTTCCATTGTGGCTTTCTATCACTAGAAAACTTTCAAAAATATCACCTTTCTTCCAAACTTTTATATATATAAATAGATATAGAGATATATCTTTCTCTATCTATCTAGAGGACATGTCTCTAAAATTCTCAAATCCATATATTGCAGATATATGGATTTTTTTCATAGATAGAAACATGTTTTTGAGCAAAAACAGGTATAAAAATATGTAATTAATAAAAATGCCTAAGCAGAAAGGATTTGTTTTTTTTTGTTTCCTTAATTTAGAGCATTCACCTCTGAACCAATTTTGCTTACTTTTAAAATACACAAATATTATCTTCTAAAAATGGTAAAACGTTAACAAAGAGTTAAAAATTACTCTGCATATGCTAAAGTCTTCTTATGCTTTACTGATTTTTCTTTATTCTTAGTAAATCACGAGATAACTTTGAGATACTGGAATGATGTTTCTTTTGTATTTTCTGTAGAAATAGAAAAATTTCTCAAAGCTTTCTACCTTCCCAATAGTAGAAATGGAGATTTCTTTTTTAACATCATTCATAAGATCTGCCTTTTCATTATTTTGTTGACATTCCTTGTGACTAGCTGAAGTTATATAAGGTATAGTGACATTGAACAGTTCAGATCGAAAAGTATATTTCTGTATGAATATTTCATAATTTCTTCCATCACTATTCTCTGGCTTAATGGTAGAATCAGAAGCAATAAGTATCGCAGAGGATCCAAAAGAGGACACAGAATCCACGTGAAGAGAATCAAGGTGGACAGATGAAGTGGGCTTATTTTTACTGCAACAAGACTCATGATGCTGGTGAACTTGATAGTTTATCTTGTTAATGAAAGAAAGATGATCCAATAACCATCCTGATGACAGCTGGTGCACTACAGACATTATCTTCCTTTAAAAAAAAAAGAAAGAAAGAAAGGAAAAAACTCTGAGAATTAGAGACTACAAGTAAAACTCAACTTTCCAGATTAAGTTCTTAAATATTCTGTATTTCAATAAACATATACTTCACACACAAAGGTAGAGTTGATGTGCAAGTAGCTAAACTTGACATGTACAAAGAGAATTAACATCCATGGTATATAGCAGTTCTAAGGAAAATTGTAATGTTTTACTCTAAACTTTTCATTTCAGGGTTGATAATTTTCAAAATGTTCAGCCAATTTGGCCAAAGAGGGAAAACCTGATCTTATTCTGGAATCTCAATTTGATCCTCCTATCCTCCTGAGCCCTGCATAGTACTTGGATATAGCCACTAGGTCTACATAGTCTAAATCAGGAAGTCACTGATTCCTTTAAAGGTCTAAGTGTCCTGTCAAAGCAAAAAATACTGTATTACCTATGTGAATTCACCATTTTTAATGAGATAACCCTAGAGAAGATCACAATTTCCAGAGTTGTTGTTAGCATGTCAACTCTTGCCTTTTCAATCTACATTAGCCATAATATGTCAGCCCACTTTGCAGAATCATTTCCTTACTTAACCACAGGTACCAGTGGATTGCAAAAAGGGTAAAAGTAGACCAAAATGCAATTTTAACAGCACATCAGAGGCACTAAACCATAGCAAAATTGCAAGGTTACAGAGTCCAGATCTGTATTGGTTCTGAACACTCTTCCTCCAGCAACTAGGTTTTTCAGAACTTCCTAATTTTTCAAAAGATAGTTTTCAGTTCTAGATAATGCTTACTAAATCTAATGTAGTGGATAACTTAAGGAGTGGACAGAACAAGATTTACATGTGACTAATAGCACAGTTAATACTAGTAACATTTAGATTCAAACTTCTAACTCCACATATTAGCTTTATGACCATGGAGAAGTTATCTCAGCCACAATTTCATCATTTTTATGACATCTAGAGTGCAGTCTAGAGAATTTAATGAGATAATCTACATGAAGTGAGTAGTGACTGACACAAAGCAATTGCTCAATAAATGCTGATGGTGATGGAAATTTTGGTATTGGTCCTTCCTGATTCAGAGTCACCACTTATGGTGAGGAGGTCCCGTAATGCAGTGGTCCTCCATCTTTTTGGCACTAGGTACCAGGTTCCCCTATGAGAATATAATGCCTGATAATCTGAAGTGGAGCTGAGGCAATCATGGGCTAATGCTGGGGAGTGGCTACAATATAGATGAAGTTTCTCTTGCTTGCCTGATGGTGTTGGTAGGCGCTAGGGAGAACTAGAAATTTAGATGGGAAGACCCAAATTCAGAAAGGACGCATCTAAAATTACAACTCTACTTAATGACACAATTGCTACAAGACCCATTTATCCAGACTTTGGCTCTGAGCTTTTCTCCCACTCCCACCACTCTCAAGGGATTAAGCAATGTTTTGTCTCTGAGTTCAAACTTAGAGAAGCAGGAATGCTATACTTTAGCAAGCAAAATAATACTATGTTTAGTGCACTTCTCTATAATACTCTCCTATTCTCTACTTCAAACAAGCAAATTAGGAACCCAGCGCGACCTCGGAGCGACTGCGCCTAAACTCAGCAGTCACTATCTCCTACCTCACCGCTTCCCTTGTCAGAAAAGTGCACGCCACCTTCCCAGACTTGCATCACGAAAACAGTACCCATCTACATAGTGGTCACGAAAGACACATTTTCAGCGCACAAGGAAAAAAAAAATCTTTTCTAAGAGCCAAAGGGCGCGACCATGTTGCTGTACGGATAAAGCTTTTCCAGGGGCACTTACAGCACTCTGCCGCTATTCAGCGGATTTAGAGAGCTAGGATCTTCATTGCTAAATTTAAGGGTCGGACCAGATTTCGTAAGGGACGCTTACAGTGCCTGGGATATGCCAGTAAGCCTGGCGAGAAGGCCCGTAAAACAAACGCAGAATTCCGGCGACAAGGAGCCCCCGCGTAAGAGGATGCGCATGCGCATGCGCATGCGCGCGCGCTCGTGCATTACACGTGATGACGTCATGGGCGGAGATTTTAAAATTCTAACGGCGCTGGCGGTTGAATCGAGGTGTTGGTGTTTTAGCCGCAGCAGTCTTATCTATCCGGTAATTGCACGGTTTACGGAATTCAGTTTTGGGGTCCTGTCAGGAAACTGGAAGAACGGTAACTAATGGCTTTGGATTAATTTTGTTCTGGCAGTACTGGTCTGGAGGGAGAAAGCAATAGCGCCCACAACGTAGAGGCCCTGAGCGGCAACGTTTTAGTGTCTGCTGTTGTGAGAAGCCTCTGGGCCAAATCTGCTAGGCTCTGGGTTCCCGGTAAATTTCTACTGGCAATGATTTCCCAAGGGAGAAGGAGAGGACCTAGGGGGCCGCTGATGGGGAAAAGAGAGGCCGGAGACAAGAAAGGGTGCAGGGAGAGGAAATGTTTGTTGTATTTGAGATACTAGTGTAACACCTTGGTGACTGTGTAAGGAGTACATCTGAAAGTCGTAAATCTTAAGACTACATTTCAGGTGGAGATTGGGTAGACACATAAGTGAAAGTGGAAAAGTCGATTAGGTGTAACAGCGTATTGAAGAAAAAAATAGGTGGTCAAACCAAGATGACAAAAATAATAAAATAAAATATCCGAGATGTTCTAAGTTAAATTAGAGCAGCCAAAGAGAAGAGACAAAACAGAGCCTCTTAGTAGCTATGGACCAACTGACAGAAGACTGCTCAAATTGATGAATGTCTGTTGGAATTTCGGATTAACTTCCCAGGGAAAGATTATCTTGAAGGAACAGTGAAACTTGGCTGCCTTTCTGTTTGAGAATAAAGATAATAGTTGATGCTTAATGCACCATCTATGTCTGGAAAGATTTTAATACTGAATTCATGAATGCAGGTCAGAAGCATGAAGCGCAGTTCAGTTTCTACCGGTGGTGCTGGCCGCCTCTCTATGCAAGATCTAAGATCTCAAGACTTCAATAAACAAGGCCTCTATACCCCTCAAACGTAAGTACCTCATGCCTTATCAACTTGGTCAAAAAATTGCTAAAGGTGGTTAATAGAAAGCTGTAATATAAGTGATGTCAGGATGAATCTTCTCTGTTTCCAGCGGTACCCAATTTGCGGTCAATGAAGCTAAGAGTGGTTATATTACTAGGTGTTGTATTTTATCTAATTTGTTCCTTAAATTTTCAAAGCTATGTCTTTGCCAAGGACTGTTAATGCCTTTCAGTGATCTTTTTTTTCCCCTAAAAAGACTGTTAATGCCTTTCAGTGATCTTTTTTTTTCCTCCTTTATTCTAGAGCTTGTTTGAGCAGGCTACATGGAATAACTTTCAATTTACTGAGGTGTATCCAACTAGCGAAGTTCTCAATCAAAGGTATTATTTGCTCTGACAATAAGCTGCTGTTTAGTAGCAGCCTACAGAATAGCACTTCTCCAAACTATTTCCTCAAGATTCCCTGGAAAAAGGTGTCCAAAAGAACTTGCTATTGTAAACTAGTTTTCTCTATAAGTGATTTCCTTCCAATTAATTAATAAAAGGCTTTTAGTAAGCCACTATAGAGCTGTATCAATCCATCTCCAATACCAAGTGCCAAAAAAAATTCTGAAATGTTCTAAATGAAAATTACATGGGCCTGAAAGTGAGAGAAAGGCAGAACAGTTAGCTGTGGGCCAGCTCTGACAAAAGATTGCTCACATTCCTATATATCTGTTAAAATTTAGGATTAATTTCCAAGTGCCTATTTCTGCAAATATCCAAAAGAGATAATAGCCAGATGCTATCAAACCCCAGGAGCCTCCACTTGTTATTTTCACATTAGCTTGCCAATCTGCTACCCACAGCTAATCCACAGAAGTAGATACTTCTTCCTTGCTAACTGTTCCTATGCCAGAGCTGGCCCCACATCAGCTTCTACCACCCCCTTTTCCTATAGCTAATGTAAATTCTTTCAGAGCAGCTCACATCTTCCATCCACAACCCCCTACTTGATGTATAGAAATGCTTAACAACTCCAGGACTTCGGATATGTTGTCTTTTCACCTAGCCATGCTGCTGGTAGTTCATACTTTATGCCCAGGACCTGGTCTTTCTTGCTAACAATAGCCTAATAAATCTTTTCTTTCTTTTTTTATTTTTTTTTTAAGGTCTTTAAGCCACGGAAGTTAAGATTTTTATTTAACACAAATTACATATTATTTGCTGTTTTTCTTTAAATTTTTAATTAAGTTTATTGGGGTAACATTGGTTAATACAATTATATCATTTTCAGGTGTGCATTATCATTTGACATCTATTGTGTGTTTACCACCCAAAGTCCAGTTTCCTTCAGCTACCATATATTTGATCCCCTTTACCCACTTCGCCCTCCCCCTAAACCCTACATTTGACCCCCTTTTACCCCGTCTACCTTCCTCCTTCTCCCCCAGCCCACTAGTAACCACTAGTCTTTAGTCCTCTGGTAACCACTAGCCGATAGTCCATGTGTCTCTGTTTGTCCTGCTCATTTGTTGCTTTTAGGTTTATATCCCACATATAAGTGATATCATGTGATTTTCAACTTTTTCTGTCTGGCTTATTTCGCTCAGCATGATTATCTTGAGGCCCATCCATGTTACCACAAATGGCAGTATTTCATCTCTTATGGCTGAGTAATATTCCATTGTATATATGTACCACAGCTTCTATAGCCAATCATCTATCGTGGACAAGTGGAATTGTTGGATCATATGGTAGTTCTATTTTTGATTTTTTGAGGAACCTCCATACTGTTTTCCATAGTAGCTATACCAACTTGCAGTCCCATCAGCAGTGTATGAGGGTTCCTTTTTCTCCGCATCCTCTCCAACATTTATTATTACTTGTCCTGTTGATTATAGCTATTTTAACAGGTGTGAAGTGGTATCTCATTGTAGTTTTGATTTTCATTTCCCTAATAGCGATGTCAATCATCTTTTCATATATTTGTTGGCCATTTGTATGTCCTCTGCCCATTTTTTGATTGAATTGGATCGGGATAAGTGTCCAGGTCCTCTGCCCATTTTTGATTGGATTGGATCATTTTTTTGTTATTGAGTTGTATGAGTTCTTTGTATATTTTGGATATTGGGCCCTTATCGTAGGTGTTGCTTGCAAATATATTTTCTCATTCAGATGATTCTCTCTTTACCTTGTTGACGATTTCTTTTGCTGTGGAAACTGTTCTTAAATTACTTAGGTTTACATAGTATGAGCCTCTGATACTTTTAGAAATTTGAAGTATTTATATTATTTCTTCTGAAATCAGAAAAAATTTTTGTACTGTTACACATTATGTACACCAAAAGATTTATCTTGAATTCTATTAAAAATAAAAGGCTACCATTGTCAACGTTTTTGGTCTGTAATTTAGGTAATGTATGTTCTTAAATGTTCTGCTAAAGCACAGGCCTTAAGAGAAAAAAAATTTTAATGTAGCTATCATTCTATGATTGAAAATATTCATTTTTACGTTTTTTTCTTTTAAAGTTGTTATCCATAAATGTCCATATTTTAAGATAATTGAAATGTAGATATGGGGTTTTTTTATTCTAGCTTTCTTTTTTACCATTTTAGCATTACAACTTATACTATGTTAGCATAATCCATTTATAACAGTTGCAATTGTTGCTAAAAGTTTTCATAATTTTCAATTATTTTTATAGGTAATAGAGAAAAGATGTTGGTTCCAACATATTTCCAAAAGCTTCTTGAACTAATATTTATTTTGAAGAGTTTGTTTTTCTTCTTTTCTTAAAGCAAAGAGAAGCCAGCATTTGGAAAGTTGAATATAAACAAACCCACATCTGAAAGAAAAGTTTCTGTATTTGGCAAAAGGTAATGATCTTTTTTATCAGTTCTAATGAAGGGATTCTTAAAGCCATGCATTCGGCTAAATGCTCTCAGAGTACAAAAAGTTAAAGGGCATGGTCCCTTTCAAGAGAAAGTTATAATCTAGTTTTCTTCTATTTTACATGATTGAAATGGTTATATCTGCTTTAGATGATGCTAAGAGATGTATCAGTACATTCGACCACTATTTCGTTGTTACGAGTGAATAGTTAATTGAAAATTCTATCCCTGGCTTTCTGATATGTGGATTCATAGCATTTAAAATTAGGAGGAACTGTCATTTGTTCAACATTTTAGTCTCAGACCTTTTTATGCACTTAAATAAATATTAAGGACTCCAAAAAGCTTTTATTTTGTGGACTGTATCTATTGATACTAACCTAAAAAATTTTTTTAAAAATTTTTCAAAAACAAAACTATTTCAATAATAAGAGTGTCATTGTTTTACATTTTTGCAAATCTCATTAATGTCTAGCTTAATAGAAGATAGATCCTTATATCTGCTTCTGTATTTAATCTTTTACAATATCATTTACATCATATAGCCAACTTCTGTAAAACACTGTACACTCATGAGAGAATGAGAATGAAAGGAGCAAATAACATCTTAGTTTTTTGTTTGTTCCTTTTTTCAAAAATAATTTTGACTTCTCAGATCTCCTAGATCACACTTTGAGAACCACTGTCTAGACTAGATCATTGGTAGCCTATGCTCGAGCTGGGGCAGGATTGACTGTTAAGGGGTATGAGACATTTGGGGTAGATATGTGATAGAAATGTTCAATATCTTATTGTGGTAGGGATTACACAGGTATATACATTGTCAAACTTTATCAAACTGTACACTTTAAACAGGTACATTTTATTCTAAGCAAATTGCACCTCAGTAAATGTGACTTTTAAATGA